CAGACCAGGGTACAGGTGAATATAAATGGCCTTCCAAGCCAAGCTCTTCTAGGCTTGACTCTTAAGTCATGACTTGAAACTGTTGGCACTGACTTGTTCTATTTTGAGAAAAACTCCCTATTCTTTTGCATGAGCAACTAGAGAAAGGAATGTATACTGAGTAACTTAATATAGAAATGAGTTAATTAAATCTACAGTCTCTGTGATAAATAAATATGAAATATTTTCTTATTGAATTAATATTTTTATCTTGAGGTATTTTCTAGTCATAGAATGAATGTCTTTTTTTTTTTAATGGTGATACTCTTAGCATACATCTCTATCATTAAGATTCCTAAACAAATCGTCTTTGTCATTTGAGCATATTTGTTAAATAATTCCTTTGATTTTTCTTTATTAAAAAAATTTGATTAACATTAAGTTTGACGTGCTCTTTTACAAGTTGATGGCTGTAAACTATATTTATATAGAAAAATGTTAAGTATGAGTTTAGTATCTTTATGGTTGGCTAATAAGGCTATAATTGTCTTTTTCTTTCTTTCTCCCTTCCTTTTCCTTCTTCCCTCCCCACTCCTTCCCTCCCTCTCTCCTTCCTTCCCTTTCTTCCTTCATCACAGATCACATATAATACCTGTATTTTTATACAAGATGAAGAGACAGTAGAGATTTTTCTGAATTCATTAAAAAAAAATAAGCATTCTTAATTATTCTCTTCAAAATATTTACCTTAAGATTCTCTCCTAGACATTTGACTTAGTTGTATGTTACAACTTTCTGGGGTTGAATTAGGGATCCTCCAGAGGTGCTGTGGAAGCAGAATTCCTTTATTTTCTGCTGTTATACAGAATATCTAATTCTTTCTGCTCTTTCTTTCTTTCTCTTTCCACATTTATCTGTGAAGAGCTTATCTTCAGTTTTTGAGATCAAAGTATAACTAGAAAGTTTAGGCTGAAACACAAATTATTAATACCAATGGTTGATGGTCCTTGAACTACGAAGATAATCTCATGTGACTCAACCCAGTATTAGAATGGCTTTCTTTATCTTTTAAGAAACACACCTGAACGTAAACATACAGATGTGTGCGATTTTATTTAAAATAGTCATCCCAGGAGAATGTGTATTTATTTCATTAGTCCTTAATTTTTTGACATCTAATACCTAACTTTTCTGTTTTATGTTACATCTTTCACAACTTTCTGTCATTTTCCCCAACTAGGTTGTTTTTCTTGAGAAGAAAACCAGCTTGAACCTATTGTAGTATAGAAATAACACTAGTGAACACTTGTTGAGCACGTGTACGAGGCACTACCCTAAGCATTTTACATGTATTAACCCATTTTTGCCTAGCAGCCCTTTGAGGAGGGCATCTCTGTTTACCCATGTTTTATAGGTGTGATAACTAAGGTGTGTGACGTTAGTAATTTATCCATGTTACACTGCTAGTGGCAGAGCCAAGGTTTGAACTCGGGTAGTTTAGCACCAAAGCCTGCTACACATGTCCATTACGCTATACCATCTTTTATTATAGGAACACATGTACATGTGTTGTGTTAGGCACTATGTTTTATATATTGCAACTCTCTGTTTATCTGTATAACTCAGCACACTGTAAACTTGTCAGTGGTTTGAATTGGAATATGACACACTACCTACCATTTAGGATCATGTGACTTAATTAACATAGGTAGGTAAACATAGTTTAATTAACATACAAAGAACAAAATACTTAAAGTACAAAGGAGTGATATACTGCTTAGTGTTTTCAGGGAAGAGCTCATACAGGCACATTTGAATTGTGGTTTTAAGTCTGATTGGAAGAATGCTGGGAAAGGGAAGCATTCCAGGTACAGAGAAGGGCATCTGTAAAGGGAAGTGTGGGGAGCTATGAATAAATATTTTGGTGCTAAAGTCGAGGATGACTAATGGAAGATGAGGTTGGGGGGACATTTGGGGGCCAACGAGGGCCTCTGCGTGCTCAGAATTCACTATTGAATGTGGAATGGCTGTGGTCAAAACCACTTAGAAGCTTCTCCTAGTCAAAGAACACCCAGTTCCTATTAAATATGAGTACATTTTGGACTTTCAATGAAATGACCTATTACACTCATCTTCTAAATGAAATCAATTTAAGAGAAAAAAAATTCTACTCAAATAGTGTCACTAAGTATTAATGGTGCCAGTGGTGAAACAACTGGTCTCTATGTTTTTCAGTTTTCTGTGATTCTCAAAGTGTGACCCTAAACCAGCAGCATGAGTGAGCATCTGGTATTACCTGAGAACTCAATAGAAAGGTGGCTTTCAGGTCCCACCCATACTTAGTCAGAAACTTGGGTGGTCCAGCAGCCTGTTCTGACATGCCCTATAAGTGATTGTGAAGCACACTAAGGAGAACTGCTGGTGTGGATAGTAGGTCATCGTGAGATAACAGCAAGGTCCAATGGACCCGGGAGAAGGTCTTAAAACTAAAGATCAACACATAAAACATGATACAAAACATGTAGTGATACATAGAAAAAGATCTGACCTCCTAGGAACAAAGTCACAATGTTCAAGAAGTTAGCTTTATGTGATAACTATGGGTGTCTACCTTTTTGTCCCTCATTCTTTTACTTTTCCCCTGTTTTCTGCAAGGAGCCTGAGTTTTTTATAAACAAAAGCAAAGGTTTTTATTTTAAAGTAACTTACAAATAAGGGTGAGAGGAAGCTGAGGGGGAAAAAAAGCTTTTAAAAAAAAAAAGGTCCATTCATTCTGGACCTAAAAAGGGTCTGTTTTTAAACTCCAGATCTTGAGTTGGCGTTTTTGTTTCATGATTAGAGAGCAACAACTTAATATGTTGTGATCGCCCTTGAAATTGCCCAAGTCTTTGTTATGTTTTTGATGAACTTGGTAATTAATTTCTATGCTTACTAGTTTCTTACTTGGTCTTTATGTTGTACCAACCATGCGTGTATGTCCCTTCTGTGCAGCCAGGTAACCACAGTCCTCTAACTAGCTTAATTCCCTGTTGTAATTCCCATTATAATGCTCACATTACACATCAGTGAATTGTGAGTTTATGGAGAGGCAACTCCCACATAGAATTCTCCACTCTTGATAGATGGAGAAGGTGTTTCTGTCCTTAAAGCTGAGTTCTAGAGCCTGTGCCGTGGGAACCTCTCATAATTCCATAGCAGGCAGGTATTTGAAAGTATGGCTAATTTTAGAATGTTTTACTGGAGAAAATTTGAAATGATTAGGGAGTTTGCCTTAAGCTGTATGCAAACAGAACCTACCCCCATTAGGTTGAAAATATCTATCTACTGTGTTTCCTTCATACGATTGTGAGCTCTCCTGTAGGGCAGGGCCCATTTTTTTAAGCAACTTAGCACATGGAAGTTACTTAATAAATGTCTCAACTTAACTTGGAACATGAAGTTTGTCCTTCCTTCTATCAGCCCCAGAATTGTTAAGCTTCCTTTTAATATACAAAATTTTACAACCAAGAAGAATTTGCCAAAAAGAATATGAAAGCTGACACCAGTAACCTTTTTTCTCCCCTCACCTGGAGATGCTTACAGAAGATGATACAAATGCCCCAAGTCAGAAACTCCACAACTGACAAATACTACTTTTATCCAATAAACATTGATTGGCTGCTGTTATCCACTGATGTAAAGTCATGCTAAACACAGTCCTCTGAATTCTTAGTAGATCGTAAAGTACTAGTTCTGATGCCTGTAATACTTTAGAGTTTTTTCTTTATGAAGACATTTATCCAAAGAAATTTATACAGTTGTCTAGATTGAAGGGCAACTTGACTCCTGGTGTATGCTGGTTCAAGCGATGTGTTCTTTAGATAACAGAAACTCCTGATAAGCTTTATGAATCTGCTCAGATCACTGGTGCTGAAACCGTTGGAAAGGTGGACTGTACATGTAACATCTGGCAGCACAGCAAAATGGCCTAATGCACATTTTGACCTGGTTATATCATCTGCCTTCTTTCCCAGTATACCAGAATGATCTTGTCAGCTTAGGCCAAGTTTTGAATTTTTTCCTTCTGACATAAGAGGTAACGTTCAATACACTATAGGGAATGCCTGCCCTGCTCTGACATTCACTTCAGCCCTCAGTTTCCTCATCGTATAATTTCAGTGTTGTTCTAACTTTTACACCATGTTAGGAGCACCCTCCTATCTCTCGTATTGTCAGATGCATCTTACCTGCAAGCATATTGTATATATCCACACTCTGCTTAACAGACCATAAAATTCTAGGTCATCACAGAGCATAAGGACAGATTCTTCAATAATTGTCAGTACTAGGGTCCTGGTGTATCCAGAGAGCCTCCTTATTACTGGGCACATATATTAGCATTATCTTAGTACAGAAAAAATTTTAAATAATAAATGCAAGGGGGAAATGTTTTTCTCAGAGAAAGAAAATTCCCATGTGGAATGGCTCTTCTTTGCCCCTGCAGAACCACTCTCTTCTCCATGCAGTTCTTTGCCACATTAAGCTGACCTTTGTGGATGACACATTTGGGTTCCTTTGCCTTCTGGCTTCCAGTTGGATTCAGCCCATGAGAGGCACCGGCAGGAGTAGATGCCAGGAGGAGAGAAAGCCCAGGGCAGTTTGTTCCTCAGTCACTCCCTCTGGGCTGTGGTTTGGCAGTGGTTACTCTGCTTTACCAGATGCTGCTGCTCCCTCCTACAGCTCCACATTTCTCAGAGTTCCAGTCACCGCCTCCTCCCCTTCCCTGCAGCTTCACCATCACTCATTGTTACCTTAACCTTGCTCATACTTTTGGAGGCCCTTCCTTGACCTCTGTGACTTTTCTCAGTGTGCTATCTGTTTCCTGTCTGGCTTGGAAACACAGTCTACCTTATGCAATGCTGGTCCTTTCCGCTAACACAGTTCAGAACGCTAAATGTGGTGTAATAAATTCTACTGATAGATCTGAAAAAATGTTTACAACCTTTCTTACTTTTTCAAGTTGGCTACCACTTTGTCAGTACCTGATATGGGCACACCATCATCACATGGAACTCATCTTTGCTCATCCATATAAATCACTATGGAACCGGTTGCTTATTCACAGATTTGGTCAGCCCACCAACATACAGAAGGTAAATTCTATGTCTGAGGGAAAAAAAACAACAGTTTCATTTTTTAACCTAGTCTGTCTTCCCCTATATATACATCCCATTTCCAACACAAGTGTACACACACACACACACACACACACACACACACACACACACACACGTCGTTCTATTATATGTCATACAGTGGAGTTAAAGTTGTAATACTTCAATACAGAGCCCTTCATCCATTCCTTAAGATGAATTTAGCTCTGGAAGAGACTGTTCAAGGCTGTCCAAAAATAGATTTCAGAATCTCTTTAGTCTTTCTCCCTGTCCCCCAGATTTCCTTCCTCTGTCCCATCTGACAGATCCCATCAGCTACCCAGGTAAACTAGAAATGAAAATCATTCTTTGCTCTTCCCTCTCTTGATACTAATTTTTGCACCAATCACCAGATCTTTGCCATTCTATTCCCTTAACATTGGGGGTATATTAACTTCTATCTAAATTGCTACTTGTGTGGTCTAGAGACCAGCATTTTTCTTACCTGTATCATGATGACATTTTTTTTAACTGATTTCCATGCCTCTCGTCTGGTTCCTCTCCAAAGCATGCTCTCTTCAGCTACTGAATAATCTTTCTAAGTCACAATTCTAATATGTTAGTTTTCACACTTCAGACCTTTAAACCCCCTCAGTGACTTCCCATTTATACACTGCCCCTAGGATCAAGTTCACATAACAATTTCTAAAACTCATTACCTTCTGGACATTCTCATCACATTTTTTCCTATTCCTCTTTCCCCAACCACTTGCTTGTCACCAAAGTTCTCATCTCTCTCATCTTGATCATGATGTACCTCTCTGCAAAATTTTGTCTGTTCTCACCCACCTTTCAGACTTCAGTTTAGGCTTCAAGTCTGTATCAAGAATGCTTTCAATGGCAAATATCCAAAAACAGATTGCTACTAAGCAATAAGGAATTTTTCTCATACAAAAAATCTGGAGGTAGGCAGTTGACAGCATTGATCATCATAATCGTTACTGTTATTATAATAGTATTAGTCTTCTAACCTATTGCTCCTAAGTGATCTCAGAGTTCTGATGAAATTCCATTCCGCATTCTCGTTCTTCTGATCCAAACCAGGGATCATAAACAGACTCTAGGTATTATTGCCATTCATTTGATAACTGATATCTGTATTGAGAAAAAATTTGAGACCCAAGAGAGGCTCAGCAGAAGACAATGTGAGGCATGATCATTTAGTGATACCTGCCATCTTGTCATCCATAAGCATCTCTAAGTGGCCTGGTTAAAAGTTTCACAAAACTTTCACAGGTAGCTTGTCAGGATGGAAAAAGACAATTCTGAAACAGGAAAAACTGTGATTATTTGTTTTTTTTCTTCTTTAATTTGCAAACAGTGAATTACTCCACTTTAAATGATAAAACCACCTCACTTTTCTAGGATTAAACCCAATTTAGTTCTGGTATAGTGTCTTTTGTATACATTACAGAATTCAGCTTGCTCATATTTATTTCTGCTTAACACTGTTTACTTGGAATTCATGTTACACCACTTAACAAGGCTTCCAAATCCGAGAACTGTACCAGGTATCAGTGGGGTGGAAAGGGAGGGCTGGAAGGACTTTAGCTCCTCCATCATCTAACACCCCCAAGTCACCTGTTGGTATTCCTCAGTAGGGGTGACTGTTCTCAAATGGATGAAAAGCCTGAATTACAAGAATTTTAGAAAATACTGATATTTGTATTTATCTTTAAATTTTTTTTTTAATGTGGCAGTTTGGGTTTTGGAGAACAAACTGAGGGTTGGGGTTTTGGGATCAAGCTGTTTATTAGGGATTAATACCTGTGGTATTAATAGCCTTGTCTTACTCAATGAAACTGAGCCATGCCATGCAGGACCACCTAAGATGGATGGGTCATGGTGGAGAGTTCTAACAAAATGTGGTCCACTGGAGAAGGGAATGGCAAGCCACTTCAGTATTTTTGCCTTGAGAACCCCATGAACAGTATGAAAAGGCAAAAAAATATGACACTGAAAGATGAACTCCTCAGGTTGGTGAGTACCTAATATGCTACTGGAGAATAGTGGAGAAATAGCTCCAGAAAGAATGAAGAGGCTGAGCCAAAGTGAAAACAAGGCCCAGCTGTGGATGTGACTATTGATGGAAGTAAAGTCTGAATAGAACTGTAGAGAACAATACTGCATAGGAACGTGGAATGTTACATCCATGAATCAAGGCAAACTGGAAGTGGTCAAACAGGAGATGGCAAGAGTGAACATCACATTTTAAGAATGAGTGAACTAAAGTGGACCAGATTGGGCGAATTTAATTCAGATGATTGTTATATTTACTACTGTGGGCAAGAATTCTTTAGAACAAATAGAGTAGCTCTCATAGTCAACGAGAAAGTCTGAAATGCAGTCCTTGGATGCAATCTCAAAAACAACAAATGATACCTGTTTGTTCCCAAGGCAAACCATTCAGTATCATGGTAATCCAAGCCTATGCCCCAACCGCTAAGGCCGAAGAAGCTTAAGTTGAACAGTTCTATGAAGACCTACAAGACCTTCTAGAACTAACACCCAAAAAATATGTCCTTTTTATCACAGGGGACTGGATTGCAAAAGTAGGAAGTCAAGAGATACCTGGCGTAACAGACAAGTTTGGCCCTGGAGTACATAATGAAGCAGGGCAAAGGCTAACAGAATTTTGTCAAGAGAACACACTCGTCATAGCAAACACCCTTTTTCAACAACACAAGAGACAACTACACATGGACATCACCAAAATCATCAAATTGATTATATTCTTTGCAGCCAAAGATGGAGAAACATTACACAGTCAGCAAAAACAAGACCAGGAGCTGACTGTAGCTCAGATCATGAACTCCTTATTGCCAAATTCAGACTTAAATTGAAGAAAGTAGGGAAAATCATGAGACCATTTAGGTATGACCTAAATCAAATCCCTTACGATTATACAGTGGAAGTGACAGATAGATTCAAGGGATTAGATCCAGCCCTCCCTTTCCACCCCACTGATACCTGGTAGAGTTCTTGGATTTGGAAGCCTTGTGGGTACAGAGAAATTTAGCAAGGGGTACATCAGAGACAGGGAGTTGGGTGCCCCACATGGACCTAGGGGGAGAAAGGGAGCTGCAGATTTCTCCCTGGATATCAGGCACTTCCTAATCAGATGGCCAGAAACAGTGCCACTATCACCTGCTTCTCTCTCAGGAGGGACTATCAGAGCCTTGCGGAGCTCAGGATTGAGGGTGATCTTGCTAGGTGAAGGAACCAACAGAGTTTGGGGCTGCTGAGGTGCCTGGAAATTGAAGATAGCAGAGAGGAGGGAGGTGTGCAGAGAAGGAGCTCCTGAAACCTATATGAGGACCCCCTTGGCTCTTTGGCCATGTACTTGTCTGTAGAGACACAGAGCAAGATACCACAGGTCTGTCAGAAAAGAATTATCCATGGGGTTTTGTGTAAACTAAGTGAAGATTCTGAAGGTTGAACAGTTCTGGTGTTCTGACTAGCCAGAATAAAGGAACACCTCAGGCATTCGGTGGCGAGCTCAGAAGGGCCATATCTTAGAAGTAAGTCTGCTCTAGCCTTAGAATAAGGGCTACTCTAGTCCCACCCTAATAAAGCCTAAAAGCAAGTCCCAGATGGATCACACCAACAAGTCAATACATTAACTGCCTAAAAGAAGAAAAACAATACTCTTTGAGGAAGAAAACAAAATCTAGACTCTCCAATAATGTAATATCCACCCACATGTTCAGCAAGCAATAGCAATAACTAGACAAGGAAAGGACCAGGGAAATATGACCCATAACCAGGAGTAGCAACAAACAAAAACAGAACAGTCCAAAGAAACAGATTTTGAGAGGACACAGACACTGGTGTTAACAGCCAAGGACTTTAAAACAGCTGTTATAAATATGTGCAAGAGGGAGTTCCCTGGCGGTCCAGTGGTTAAGACTTTGCCTTCCAATGAAGGAGGTGCAGGTTTGATCCCTGGTTGCGGAGCTAAAATCTCACATGCCTCATGCCCTCAAAATAAAAAAATATAAACAGAAGACCTCAATCAAATCTCTTACGATTATACAGTGGAAGTGACAAATAGATTCAAGGGATTAGATCTGATAGAGTGCCAGAGGAACTATGGATGGAGGTTCGTGACATCATATAGGAGGTAGTGACCAAAATCATCCCCAAGAAGAAGAAATGCAAGAAGGCAAAATGATTGTCTGAGGAGACCTTACAAATAGCTGAGAAAAGAAGAGAAGTGAAAAGCAAACGAGAAAAGGAAAGATACCCATTTGAATGCAGAGTTCCAAAGAATAGCAAGGAGAGATAAGAAAGCCTTCCTCAGTGATCAATGCAAATAAATAGAGGAAAACAATAGAATGGGAAAGACTAGAGATCTCTTTAAGAAAATTGGAGACACCAAGGGAACATGCATGCAAAGATGGGCAAAATAAGGAGAAAAATGGTATGGACCTAACAGAAGCAAAATATATTAAGAGGTGGCAAGAATACACAGAAGAACTATACAAAGAGATCTTCATGACCCAGATAACCACAATGGTGTGATCACTCGCCTAGAGCCAGACATCCTGGAGTGTGAAGTCAAGTGGGCCTTAAGAAGCATCATTACGAACAAAGCTAATGGAGGTGATGGAATTCCAGCTGAGCTTTTTCAAATCCTAAAAGATGATGCTTTTAAACTGCTGCACTCAATATGCCAGGAAATTTGGAAACCTCAGCAGTGGCCACAGGACTGGAGAAGGTCAGTTTTCATTCCAGTTCCAAAGAAAGGCAATGCCAAAGAATGTTCAAACTACCGCACAATTGCACTCATCTCACACACTAACAAACAAAAACTCAGAATTCTCCAAGCGAGGCTTCAACAGTATGTGAACTGAGAACTTCTAGATGTTCAGTCTGAATTTAGAAAAGACAGAGGAACCAGAGTTAAAATTGCCAATATCTGTTGGATCATAGAAAAAGCAAGAGAGTTAAAGAAAAACATCATCTTCCACTTTATTGACTATGCTAAAGTCTTTGACTGTGTGGATCACAACAACTTGTAGAAAATTTGTAAAGAGATGGGTATACTGGACCGCCTTACCTGCCCCCTGAAAAATCTTTATGCAGGTCAAGAAGCAACAATTAGAATTGGACATGGAACAATGGTCTGGTTCAAATTGGTAAGGCAGTATGTCAAGTGTATATTGTGACCATGCTTATTTAACTTATTTGCACAGTACATCATGTGAAATTCCGGGCTGGATGAAGCACATCCTGGAATCAAGGTTTCAGGGAGAAATATCAATAACCTCAGATATGCAGATGATACCACCCTTATGCCAGAAAGTGAAGAGGGAACTAAAGAATCTCTTGATGAAAGTGAGAGAGGAGAGTGAAAAAGCTGGCCTAAAATTAAATGAATAATCATGACATCTGGTCCCATTACTTCATGGCAAATAGATGGGGAAACAATGGAAACAATGACAGACTTTATTTTCTTGGGCTCCAGAATCAACTGCAGATGGTGACTGCAGCCACGAAATTAAAAGATGCTTGCTCCATGGAAGAAACGCTATGACAAACCTAGACAGGGTATTAAAAAGCAGAGACATTACTTTATGACACAAGTCCATATAGTCAAAGTTATGGTTTTTCCAGTAGTCATGTATGAATGTGAGAGTTGGACCATAAAGAAAGCTGAGTGCCAAAGAATTGATGCTTTTGAACTGTGGTTTTGGAGAAGATTCTTGATAATCACTTGGACAGCAAGGAGATCAAACCAGGCAATCCTAAAGGATATTAGTCCTGAACATTGATTGGAAGGAGTGATGCTGAAGCTGAAGCTCCAATACTTTGGACACCTGATATGAAGAACTGACTCATTAGGAAAGACCCTGATGCTGGGAAAGATTGAGGGCAGGAAGAGAAGGGGACGACAGAGGATGAGATGGTTGGATGGCATCACCAACTCGAAGAACATGAGTTTGTGATGGACAGGGAAGCCTGGCATGCTGCATTCTATGGAGTCGCAGAGTCAGACCTGACTGAACGACTGAACTGAATACCTGTGAAAAGGAGTGGAGGCAGGATTGGCAGAGGTGGAAGTCAAACTGTTGGAAGCTGCTGTAGAGCCTCAACACATGGGCAGGGAGCCCAGGAGTCAGCATTGCCTGTTAGATGTCTCCTATCAAGCCAAAAT